GGATGCTGCAGGCTCTGGGACCAGCCTGCCGGCTGTGCCCGCTCCCTGCCAGCGGTGATGTCTTGTTGCACATGCTGCGCTTTTTCTTTTTCTTTCCTTTTTTTTTTCTCATTGACTCTAGGCTCTTTTTTTTTTTTTTTCATCCTTGCTGTCTTTAACCCAATCCAGGGAAGGAAAGGACTGGCAGAGGGTAAGAAGTGCCTTTCAAAAGAAACTAATGAAACCCGCGGAAGTTGTGAAGCTGGATGCCACAATCAATGAGGTACTGCGGCTCGAGAAATCCTTTCTCTCCCCATGCTCCTGGAAGCCTGGGAAATAAAACCAGATCACTTGATCCCGTTTACCTGGATAGCTATTGAACTGCTCTACAGTGATAACAGTGTGACTTAATGCTCTAAAACTATGCAGGGAATAACAGGTACAGAGTGATCATCAGGGTCTGACCAAAAGCAAGACCAAACAGAAACCTGTAGTTAAGACTGTCTGTACAGAGCAACAAGAGTACCCCAGTGACACGGGCTCCTGCAGAGATTTGGCTTACTTCTCTGGCGTTCAGTGTTTTGTGCCGTTACCCCTTCGTTCTTGTAACTCCCTCATTAACCTCTATGTACCTCACTGAATTTGAGGAGCATCTGTGATAGACACCTTAATCCTCTTTATTGTGAAACTCTGTGGTGTTACCCTGCTGTCTGACTGAAGCACTTCATCCCCACAGAGGAAAATTTGTTTCATCAAAGTACAAGCCCTAATAGGATCAGAGTCATGGAAAATCCAAACATATATTAACACGGGGAAAACTGAATCCTGTTCAAAGAACAGGAAACATAAATATTCCTGTTTTATGTGAGATTGTCATCTATTTAAAAGACAAATGAAAATGTTAAATTACTCAGGATTTGTGTTAGTTGGTCTTATCTGTTCTCTTTTTTCCCCCTTTCTGTTCTCTCCACTACTTAGGTCCTGGAGGACTTCATGTATAGAATAGATGATCTCTGCAACCACAGTGGGCAAATTGAAGATGTATATTCAGAATTCAACAAATGGTCATTTGAAAGTAAGATGGTTTTTTCTTCTTTTTTCTTTCCCCTGAGAATGGTACGCGTTTTCTACCTGTCATGGCATTTCAGAGTGAAGCCAGTGATGACAGTGTAGGCTAGTTATTTCTAATCTATAAGCTATGGTCATGGTAAACTTACATCCAAAACTTCTGGGTAACTCTGGAGAATTGCACCGATTCCCCAGAAAGGAGCCTCTACCTTTAGAACCCTTTCAGAGTACATTAAGGAGTACATCAGCCAGGAATGACTTGGGGCAGAAGGAAGAGCTATGTTAGAAGTCCTCAACAAAAAAGCATGGCTAGGCGTACTGCTTAATGCAACGAGCTCTGTCAGACGCCTTCTGCCCTGGGTGGCCTCTCATGGTAACCCATGCACTGAGTTCCTGAAAACTTTTTTTTCCATTGTCAGTAATCGTGGCTGCTTTGAGGGAAAAAGAGGAAGTGGTAGCTTAAAAAATAAAAATAAAATAAAAAGCGGGTGGAAAGAGATGGAAGCTGCTGGGGTATGGAATGCTGCCAGTACTTCCAAGTGATTTCTGGCTGCAGAGGGGGACACTGGAGTAGATGGCCTCTTTGGGCACTGTGACTCAGCTTTCTTCAGGAGTGTTGCTTAATAGCTTAGTTGCCAAATATACCAGCCATGCTTGGCAGAATGATCTGCTGCTCATGTGAGGGGATCAGTGGTCCACTCACTTGTGAAGAAGTACTGCTGAAAGGGCACCACAGCTAGATATTACTGCTACAGTGGGTCTAGTGGGTCAGCTGTGCAGAATATAGTTGAACTGCTATTCTCACAGGTATGTTTCATAGAGCAGAGAACATTTTTGAGGGATAATACAAATGGTGTAATGACAATAAATGATGGACACTACGCACCCTTTCCTCTATCTCATTTAATGAGACTATTGCTTAACAACAGGTATCTGCCTGGTGCTGTATGGGAAAAGGTTTGGTCTCCTGCAACATGATGTAGAAGAAGAAGGCTTGAACTTCATCAAGGCTGTAAAAACGGTATTGAAAAGATGCTTTAGTCTTTACCTGGGCTGTAGTGATTTCCTGAAAGGGAAGTGGTTTAAATAAGCCCCCTGAAAAAAAGAAACCTAAGCTTCTATTTTGCATATGTATTGGCATCCTTGCACACCTGAGGCCACACTCAGATATGTGAAGCTAGTAACTGACCTTCTGACTGTCCAATTGACTAAAAGCCTAAGCCTATGGGGTGAAAATCCTGTGTGGACATCAGGGTAATCCCTGAAATACAGCTGTCAGGTTGGTTGGTTACTTTCCTCTCCCTCATAGACACCTGTTGTGCAACACTGCTGTTCTTGCTGGGTGGGACTTCTGGAGTGGTGTGGGATTATGCAAATATGCTGGATTTGGAGGTTAGTCACTCTTGCAAGCACACCTTTTGTGCATCTTGCTGCAACTTGGATTCTGGTTATACTCATCTCATTAATCTTATCCATCTAAAAGACAGGCATCTGGTCTAGCCTAGTTGTTCAGCTTGGTCTGCTCTCAATGGAGAGAGAGGCCTTGACAAAAGGAGAGTTTGCACCATTCTAAAATAGGTGCCTAAAATAGGTAGCATGAGTCACTCACTAGTGAAACCTCTTATTCTCCACTGGTTGTACCTAATTTTTAGCTGGATAAGGTCTAGTTAGGGTGAATCCTATCCTTTCTATCCAGGACAGAAATGCTATCAGAACCCAACTTTCTCATCTAGTGAAAATTGCCTCCTATTATACAGTCTAATTTTGTTCATGAATTACAAGTAGGTAGATTAAAGAAAGATATCACAAGCTGTTTCTCCACCACAGATGATGGCTTCTTTTGGAATGATGATGGTGACCCCAGTGGAGCTTCACAAGGGTTTGAACACAAAAGTCTGGCAAGCCCATACTAAAGCATGGGATAATATATTTAAAACAGGTTACTATTATTATTTTTAATGAATTCTTTCCCTTCTGCTTGGTCTCCTACTTGGTGGAATTAACTTTCTTTGTAATTATGTATTACTCTGCTGTTAATTGCTACCCTGAGCACAGACTGAGACACCTTTGCTGCTGTTGACCGCAGACCTCTTGATTCCAACCATGGGAGCACTTTTTTCTTATGACTAATGCTTAGCACTGGTTGTGTGGCAATACCTCATACCCAGGGAAGCCCCAGAAATTTAGGAGCCAGAAAAGCTGAGTCCAGTTGAGTCTATCATAAAAGTATAGAGCCTGAAACTATATATAGCTTTAAAGGCAAGGTATACGGATGAGAAAAGAAAGGGCAGTTTTGCCATTGAGAAACAAGAATTTACACGTAACAAAGGCTTGTTTGCTAAAAAAAGAAATTATGCTTTCTGAGTAACCTGGAGTATAGTTGTAAATCTTAAAACAGAAGCAAATAATGATAAGGTACAACTTGGCTTTCTCACAGAACTTGCTGTCTGTTAAGATGAATTGGCCTTCAAGAATGCAAAAATGACTCTAACTCCAGATATGAAGTTAGGTTCATATTTTTTCAGTTTTCTCTTAGATTGTGATAATTCTAGCTAAAGATTAAGCAAGGCTTTGGTCCTTGGTGTAATGTCAAGTGGCATGTTTCTCTTAAGCATTTGAGTACTTGATACTTCAGGCGGTTTGGTCATGCCAGTCACATGTGCACTTATTTTATTGTTCTTTGGTTTATCGGTTTTAGGAAAGACATTTTAAACCAGTTTTGGTCCCAAAAAAGTTTGACCCCTTCATTTGACACAAATAGTTCCTTGCTAACTGGTCTAAGAACTGGTCTTAACAATTGGGATATTATGAGAAAGGGTGGGCAAAACGTAGTCAACTATATTTTTAAAAATGTACATAGAAATGGCATCTATTTTTGCCTTCCCATAGTAAATCAAAGGCTTAAACTTCGTTCGGGAAGCACTAGAAATCTGTTTGATCTTTAACATCTTGATCTCCTTTGAAAATCCAAGCCAATAAGTTTTACGTGCTTGTATTTCTGTCTGCTAAATATGTCACTCAACACATCACTGGTTTCCTTTCCTAATATTAAAATGCAGAATTCCTAGTAGTTTTCAGGAGTTCTTTCTCTTTTAAAGTAATTTGTAACTGTTTAGTGCTTGTCTAAAATGTGAAAATAGTACTATTCATTCAGTACAATGCTCATCACTTGAAACTAAAGAATAGTCATCCCCTTTCAAAATTCTGCATGTGAGCCATATTTTCACTTCTATTTTGAGAGCATTTTTAGCAGCTTTCTATTGATTACCTCCTGTTCTTCCTTCCTCAGCCAAGCGTTCAATTGACAGTCGACTGGAAAAACATTCTGCAAACCCTCACGAGGATTTCCTGTGTGACATCTATTCCGGAGGACAACTTTCCAAGAAAGAGCTATATGCTGCCATTGCAGAGCTCCAGATTGCGGGAGTTGAAACGGTAAACCTGACTGTCAAAGAGCTTTTTAAAATTAGCAGCCTTGCAGCTCCCTGCTCTCCTCCACAACCTGCAAGAGAACAGAAGTGCGATAGGGAGCTCATCTTGTAGTTGCTTCAGGAACCTAAATGAAAGTGAAATTTTACCTGAAAAATTCTTTCTTCCATTAGTTTCTCTTAGAGAACCATTAAGATGGCTCATAATCTCTTAGGCTTAAAAAAATCCTATTAAAGCAGTGGCCAACCATACAGCGCGCATACTAAAAACATTGCTTTGACCTTCTGATAACTTCTTGTTTCTGTCACTGTAAGTGGAGATCTTATGTATAGCATGATTTTTTTGTTTGTTTTTTGGCTCATTTCAGACTGCCAATAGTTTACTGTGGGCTTTGTATAACATTTCACGCAATCCACATGTTCAGCAGAAACTTCTTACAGAAATACAGAGCGTTTTGGCTGCTAATGAGAGTCCGAGTGCTGAGAACTTGAAGAAAATGCCTTACCTAAAAGCATGTCTGAAAGAATCCATGAGGTAAAATTTTCAAATACTGTGCAAAAAGTAAAATGACCAGTTTTACCATCTAGTCTGCACTATGGAGAATAATATTCTAGTACATATAAGTTCGGGCACCTTGTTATTTAGAGTAAACTATTACACATACAGGAAGAAAAAATGCTGGGAATTTAACACACTTTGCTTCTTTCACTGTAGATTAACACCATCTGTGCCATTTACCACTCGCACTATTGATAAAGAAATGGTTCTGGGAGATTATGTACTACCCAAAGGGGTAAGTCAAATTGGTTAGTTCACATATTTCACCTTTAACTGTCCTCTTAAAATACTGAAGCTTGTCATATTTCAGTCTCAAAATGACTTTGCTGAAGGACTAGCTCCTGCATTAGGCTTGAATGAGAAATTTGGGCAAGAATTCCCGTAAATTGAAAACTGTTTAAATGTAGGGTAAAATTAGAAGAGCTAATGCCCTGATTTTAGAAGGATAGTTGCCTCTCTTCTCTTCTGTTTTTATTCCTGTTTTCTAATGTTATTATGTTATTCCTGTTTTCTAATTTTATTCCTGTTTTCTAACAGCCCTCTAGAATACGTCCATTTCATGGCGTTGTACCTGCTTGCACAACTGTTCAATTTAGACAACAATATCTTGGTGTAGGATTTCAAGAATTTTTTCTTTCCAAATTTTCCATGCTATTTTCTGAGGAAAATGACCTTTACTGTGTTTGAATTAATCTTTAGAGAATTACAAGACTTCTTCAGAGGAAACTGCCCTGCCTGTACTGTTGCATTAAATTTTTCCACTAACAAGGTGATTCACTTGGTAGCTCTAAGCCAATTTGTAATTGAAACTGTGTCTATTGCTTTGTTTATAGACAGTACTAATGATAAATACACATGCCCTGGGTTGTAATGAAGAGTACTTTAATGGCTGGACTGAATTTAAACCAGAGCGCTGGCTTCAGAAGAATTTAATAAATCCTTTTACTCATGTTCCATTTGGCATTGGGAAGAGGATGTGCATCGGACGTCGCTTAGCAGAGCTACAACTTCATTTAGCTCTCTGCTGGGTAAATACTCTTAAATTGCATTCTTCACACAATGTACAATTGTTCAAAACTTAGCATGTTTTGGCTTCTAGACTATTTAATTAGGCTAACTCAATGTTTTTGTTTCAGCTCATTCGCAAATACCAAATTGTAGCAACTGACAGCAAGCCAGTAGAAACACTCCATTCGGGAATACTGATTCCCAACCGGGAGCTTCCCATTGCATTTCAAAGACGATAAGGTATGCACGTAAGGGTCTCTTGAGCATGAAAGACTTATCTTCAAACCTCACTTAAAATTTTCAAGAGCTGTGAGTGAGAGTACAGAGTTTTTTCTGTGCTCTATTCTTACAGTGTGAGATTATTAAATGGCATCATATTTCATCACTTTTAACAAAAAAACTATTCTATGTAGTACAAAAGACAAGTCTTGTATGGCCTATTTCTTTGACGTTAGCATTCTAGTTTTAAATTGCGGCAGAACATGTTTTCTGTCCATGATGCAGAACATGTTTTCTGTCCATGATGCAGAACAGAAATGGTGGGGGAAAAAAATTAACAAATGTATACTACTAGGGAAAATAACCATTATTTTGCTATAACATAATGCAATCCTCCACTCTATTTCTAGCAGATATCTCCTGAAAAATAGCATTTGATTTTTGAGCATCTGTGTTAAGGCTGTCTGTTTTCTAGGTGTTCAAGTTAACAAGAAATACCATAGTCATAGAATAGTACACTAAAGAGCTTAGATTAGAAAACTTATTTTAGGCTGACAGGCAAACAAAAGAACTATCTTTACATCAATGATGTTAGAAGGGTGCAAGCTTATTACGTTAAGTCTTCAGTCTCAAATCTGAATGTTAAATTTTCTCTGCTCATAAGCTTTTTAATTAGCTTATTTATAGACCAATCCAAATCGGAAAACTGGGCCTCTGATATAGGATTAAGACCTCAAGTTAGAAATTAAATGATATTTAAATAGTATGTGGGATACTTCACTGGCCAATATCACTGGAAGAATCACTCTATGTGATTTGAGGAAGGATATTAACTGCATCCTGAAGTTGTTTGATGCTTAGTTTGCTTTTAAATAATGGATCACTACATGGATTTTTTTTTTTTTTTCCCTCCCCTCCTCTCTCTCATATAGGTCATAGAAGACCAATGGCAATCCTACTGCTTCCTTTACTGAAGACAACATATACCCACTGGGAAAGCTAAAACCTATGGTAGCCAGTGGACAAACTGCAGTGACTGGTCAAGGGATATCCATTGCAAGAGACCGAAACAGTGTCAACAAAAGCTCCCCTAGTACTTCTTTCACAAATCTGTTAGTTAATTCAGCTTTACTTAGCAATGTCAAAAGGACAGAAAAAATACCATGCATGTTCATATATACCTGTGCAAATACAATGACTTAGTGCAGCCATGGGATTCTGCAGGATAAAGTTTGGTAATGAGCTGTGGGGTGGTTATATATAGCCCTTATTAGCACACAGTGAAACTATTACAGCTGCAAGCTGTTCAAAAGGCTAGCTGAAAAGAGGTGGTTTCAAGTTTGGGGGTGTCACATAGGACACCTGGAGGAACAACAGGCAGGACTGAATTGGTCCTGTTAAGTCAGTTGAAGTGCTTTGAGAAGTCAGCTGAAGGGAAAAGAAAATTGCTGAATGCTTATCAGACTACTAGTGTCATGAATTAAACTGAGAATTAGGCTGCCAGCCTGTAATAAGGCTAACAGGGCTTAAAAATTAGGATAATGGAAGAAGTATATTTTCTGTTAAGCTTATTGTCCTTATTTCCTTTTTAAGGAAAGGAAAAGCTATATAATCAGAATTATTCATTGTGCCTGCACAGTACTTAAATTAACAGGTGCAATACTGTGACTGTCACATACCCCACTCTCACCTATAGTTTTTTTATGCCTCAAGCTCCCACATAAACAATCTCATCACAACTTTATTACAAAAATTGTAGTGGCCTTTTATTGTATGAGAGGCCTCATCTATAAATGGACTCACTAGAATCCTATGGGTTCTGCCATAAATAATGGTTATCCTAACAGGATAGTTTCATCATCTGATGAGTAATATAAAATGCGTATTTCAAAGCACTGTAGGAAATAAGGAACCTAAACATTTCCAAGAGGTTTATTTATTGCGGAGATTTCAGTACCCGTATTTAAGGGTTAAAGTCTTGCAAAGTTTGTCTTGCATGTAATACAGTATGTTAGTTATGGTCACTAGTATTTTTCCCATGATGCAGTTTCAAGTGCAGTTTTTTATATATATATATATATATATATATATATAAACATTAATGGTTGTTTGTTTGTTTTTTAATATCCTGAAATGATAAGTCTTAGCATTTGTTGACCTCTTGTTTTGTTTATTTTCCTTTGGTTATTCTCAGCCATGTAAGAGTAGCAATATTACAATATGTAAAGCAATTTGTGCGTTATTTGAATCTTTCCAGTCAATTTTGTAATAGTGAAACTTGTAATAAAATAATGTTCTTTTTCTATAAAGAGTCTTCCATAATTTTATTCTGAAGTCTTTGTAGTGTAACAAATCTTGCAAGCCTTTCAGGGTAAAGTCTTGAAAAATACTGTGGTACTTTCATCCCTCTCCTTAATATTCTTACTAGGCTTCAACTTGAAATTCTGCACAACTAAGTTACTTAGATTCAAGCACTAAAATCCTTCTGCTTTATGATACGCCCAGGTTCTTTGGCTTAAGTGCCTGTATTCAGAAGAAACAGCCAGAAGAGAGAATATTAAAATTCTACCCTGCTTATCAGTTGTTTTAGAGCAGTATAGATTTAAGTTGTCATTGCTCTTTCAGTATGTTCTCCTATAGCAACAAATCATGCCAAAACCTATGTCTTTAACTAACAGCACTTGAGCATGAGCAGTGTGGTTCTGTCTATCAGCAGTAGAGACAGCTAACAGTACATAGCTAAATGATTATGGGGGTTGTGATAGCTGTAACCTGTAGGCACTGAAGACTCAAAAAGATTTCAGTTCTCACGGTGGTTGACTCTGAAATCTTACATCAAGGCTTTTGATACCATTTGACTGCTCTGCTTCTATCAGTAAAACTTTCTAAGGGCTCATTCTGGGCACTGTTCAGATGCCTAAGCTCAGGCTACATTTTCCTCTAGGGCCTGTCTCACCTGGCTAGTTTGGTAACTTCTCCAAGCCCCGTTCCTGACCTGAGGGTATGGTGGGCATTGTCTTGGATGAGGCCAGCCCTGGGGGAGATGGATTACACCAGGTGGCAAGGCAAAGGCACACAGGAGTTCAGCCCTGCAGCACAGAGTTTTGATTTTCCATTCCCTCTGTATTTAACCATTAACCATCATGCTATTTTTGCAATCAAGGCTATCTTGGGTTTTCAGGTATGTGTTAAGTCCTTTCCCTCTATATAACCTTATCAGGAGTCAAGGAACACCGGTCGGTCGGTGAGGAGGCTTCCTGCAGCCGCAGCGCAGGCTGAGCAACCTGTGCTTCTCCGCTGTGCATGCAGCACTGGGGAGCCTGGGATGCGACTGTTTTGTATCTCTTCCTTTATCACAAGATAAAATCTTTCCAAAGTTTTGAGGAAGGATGCAAATAGTTTGAACCCTCGCAAGATCAGAAGAAATGATGTATATATTAAAAAAAAGCCATCTACCCAGCACACCTTGACAGGCAGCCTGATGTTACACAGGCAGCAGCCTTCCCGTTATTGAAACCATACCGTCTTTGCCAAGTTAATGCTGCCTCTGGCTGCATGAATGACGGAGTAAGAAAAATCATATAGCACTATTCAAAAATGTCACTCTTCCGAAAAACCTATTGCAATGGGTACTTTACAGTGACTGCAGTTCATGCTCCTGTAACTACTCTGACAGCGGGAAAGCACCAGTACCAGAGCCGGGGCAAGGTGGGCTGCGAGACGGCGAGGCGCTTACCCTGCTCCTGGGAAGGCTTGGTAGCTCATGTTAACTTCCAAGGCCGTGTGGGTAGAGCTACTCAAGCTGCTATGACATTAATAATATATACACTAAGTCTCTTCTTACAGAATTATAAAGTAATATTATACCATTAGAGCCAATAGAGTTGTGCCAGTGTGAAACAAGTGTATCATGCTGCTCACATACGTTCTTACTTAAGTTTAAAAGACAATCAAAGAGATGAAATATTATTTATTTGAACCGACCTTTACAGCCCAGCAATCAGCTATTTCAAAATCCTTAATTGCTTCTGTATTGCAAATCACAGGTCCATGTTTACTGTGTCATTTCACAAATTAAATTTAGTGGACCCAAAGACCTGTAACAATGTTACTCTTAGTAAGATTTTTGACCAATTCTCTACAAGCTGTGGTATAATCGTGTGCTGTCCTCCAGATTTCTCAAAAGTACAATAACTGCTGACCTGGAAATTTTTGTTCTGAGAGCTTTGTGGATTTTCAAGTTCCTGAAGTTTTCAAAGAACTTCATTAATCTGCTACTCCAGAGTGCATGTCCAAAATGGAAATAGGTAAATATCAAACTACACAGATAATGAATGACCAGGCCTGACTTTCACATTAAGAAACCTGTATGGCTTTCTTATTCTCGTGTTTCAAAAGTATCAAAAGTAGCATGATGCTTCCACGATTAATAAACGTCTGTGAAACCTTTCACCTATTGGTGATCTGGATAAACTCAGTTGATCCAGGTGATTGTTTCTTTTAAATGATTCAATCTTTGAGAACTGCTTATTCAAATGACCGACAATAATACTTCACTGCTACCATTTCTCGCAGAAACTCCTTAGCGGGGAACATATTTGGATCACAAAACGAATGGAATTAATTGGCCTCCACATTAACTTTCTCAATAAGGAAGTGAGCTAGGTTTACATATCCAAAAGGAGGTTAATTCTATTTAGGCTTTAGGCATATAAGTGAGAGTGATACAGACAAAGTTGGAGCCAACTAATCTGTGCTTTTTTATCGAGAAAGAATGCCAGTTCTCAGGACTGACAATCTGGCATTTTTCATGGATATTGTGTTCATTATACTCTGATCATTATAGAGCACTTTATGAGTCAGTCCCTATATACAGCTTGCAGTGCTATGATTAGGCCACAGCTAATGTGTTCTAGTTTGACTTTTTCCATACTGAGAAGTACATTTGTTTTAAACTACCAAGGGTAGAATTCATATCTGTGTCAGTGCTGACCTTAACTGATGTGACAAAGCAATCCAAGCTCTGAAAAATTAATTCTGAGAAATGTTGATAGCTACAGTTCATCTCAGAAAAAAAATTTAGTGGAGCAACTTAGCACCTGATTGATTTTAAATATGTGAAACTTCACATATACCTCAGTGGGACTGCAAATGTATGTGTAGATTTTTTAACATACTATCAATTCTTATAAAAGGAGAAAGTTTACAATTTCCAGCATGTTATTTGTGGCACACATATCCAAAATTCATGTAGGAAGTGCAGCTTTAGAGAAAAAAGCTACCTGCTTACTTCAGAGAACTGAAACAACAGGGTCTCTTGAGGCTGAGACTACAAGCAGCCTCACTAATCGCTTACCATGGATGTGTGTGTGTTTTCATAACTCACAAAATGATATACTGCAGTGTGGGTGACTGTATTCAACTTTTTTTTTTTTTGATATGCTCTTCCAGGCATGGTTTGGGAAAAACTATGAATGTTACATTATGAAACTCAGCATTATACTTATTCACTAACATTTATTCTTGGGTACTTCTGAGTACCAGCTTTCAAGAGGGTAAAAAAGCCAAAGAGAAGCTAAATTGTTCTGTCACAGAAATAACATGTGGCCTACCCTTTCTGAAATCTCTGCTGTTATTGATACTGTCAGTTCTTCGCTCTTGTACTATAACTCAGGGCTACAATCCCACTGGCATAACTCCCTTTCACATACCAAAGCACAAACCAGGAATAAATTTGTTGACACTGATAGATGCAAAGTAACCTAAAACTGGTATCAGTCATAAGAGAATCAATACTTATGAATTCTTTGTGAAAAGAAGTGTAATTGGCATGGATGGACACCATACTTGGGATCTGGTTCTACACTACCGTGCACATTTTCCAAGACAGCCCAATTCTCTACAAGAATTTTACTGTTCATTTCTTTCCTGTTTGTTTATCCAGAAGTGCATTAGGACCTACAAAATATCTATCTTAAATCTATATCCAATATTCCTATACTCTTCTTTACTACCAGGATGTACGTCTACATGGATTTTCATCTCTTGCTCACAGGTTTTTGATCTCTGTTCCTTCAGTTGTATGACTAGTAGCCTGTGGCTTTTGAAAAAGCATGAAAAGTAAAACTTAAACCTCTTTCTGGATCCAAATATTATAGGTTACAAGTCTTTGTTTTGTGGGATTCGTTTGGAGCTGAACATTTATGGAGCAACTGTTCTCCCGACAAGGAAAGCAACAATGAGACTCCTTCATGAGATAAAATACTTTTCTCCAAGGGACAATGTCAAAACAAGTGTGGAATGGAATGCATTTTATAATCTGGGTAAATTATACTTTGCTTTCTTGGGCATGTTCCTCCCAACAAGTTTGAACTCTTTGCCTTTAATTGTTAAGTGTGTTGAATGAACTCCAAGCACTGCACGCCAGGAGGAAGGGAAGCCAACGGAGCTAGTCAGTGAGCACAACAGGGCAATAAAGGGGTCCTCTGGGTAAGGGAATTACCTCCTGCTCTTCCCAAATTGCTATGC